AAGGTATATTCTACACAGGGTATTCTGTTGTTCAAGGTATTCTAGTATTCTATTTACCTGAAAAATCTCTTGAAAGTATTTTTGCACACATCTTTGAAGACAGTTCTGCCTGCATCGTAAGATCATAATCAGGGTTGATTTGGTCTATGATTACAGAGAAGCCAGTCCATTTTGCATAAAGTAGAAAGCTACTTAACATCACAATACTTCCAGCCACAGCCCTCATCTATTAAATACACATTCTGAAAAAACTGTTCATGAGTACGATCTACAGGGATCTGGCTTGTCACGTTGTTGGTACTTCTTGGTTTCCTGCTACCACAATGCAATTTGACAGATTAAATACATCCAACACTTTTTCAGTGCCATCCTAGGATGTCATTGCTTCAATTGCCACAGGATGGGATGAATCTTGGCTTCACTGAAGTCAACAGAAGACTTCACTGGGTCAAGATATCATACAGTTGTGAACATTAATTTAAATTATGACTGGCCTTCAAAGTAGTAGCCGATTCCATGACATTCTGTGGTGTTCTTCCCACAACAAATCATAGCAAATAGTTTCAAGTTAAATTCCACTTCAAGAATAAAGAAACTACAAAAACGCAAATTCAGTCTTTATTTTATTAAAACAAGATTTGTTCTGCTGAAGGAATGAATCAATTCCTGACTGCAAAATATAAACAAACAAGGAACAAACCTTTGCTTCTGGGCATGCTCAGATGTATACTACTACAAAATCTTCTGGAAAAGATTTTTTGGAATGCTGTAATTCATAGCAGATAAATCATTACAGACAAAGCCTGGGATTTTAATTGCATTAGCAAGTGACATAAGAAAGTAAAATGTATTCATCCCCAAAACATCAACATTTGTAAAACTGTTTATTTCCAGAATAAATACGAATTCAGATTAATCCATTCTCAGGCAGGGTTACCCTAGGGGAAAGAGAAAGGAAGACAGCTAAAGAAATCAAGAATCATCATCCCACTCCTGTTTTGCACTACTCTGTCAAAACAGACTCCCAAGCAGGGAGCACATATACCAGCTTGCCCTCTACATTTCAGATCAGGACACCATCTACTTCTGCTACCTGTCACCAATTTGCTTCCAAACAGAACATCCTGCCCTGTAATTTAGCTCTTCACAACACAAAAAAAAAAAAAAAAAAAAAAAAAAAAATCCAAATGCATGATTGAGAAAAAAAAACGGAAACAATACATCTGAAATTAAAAGAGGCTGAAGATACAAAGAAAGAACATCTAGCTATAGCACAGGACAAGTTTGCAATATCACTGTATTCTTACAAACTCACGTTGTGTCAAATGACCACAGACAGTAGAGAATCAGATACAAAATCACAGCATCAAGCAAGAGTACTGCAAAATACGTTACCAACTACAAGAACATGAAACCCACAAAATCATGTATTCTAATTTGGGCCCGAATTTAGCATGAAACTTAAACAGAACTTCAGATTAAGTCATAGTGTCACAAATACAACTAAATACCTCATTTTATCTGAATCTCAGAGAGGAACATTTTCATACTATGATTACAAGAACATTGCATTGGATGCAGTCTTGCCAGAAAGAACTAGAAAGCAAAAAATCCTATCAGAAATGGAACCAAAGAACTGCTAGGTGCAAGCGTCAGACATCTACAGTTTTGGGGACTTGCTAGTCTATGTTTGGTTAGCACTTGCTACAGCATGAGTCCGGGTCACACTCAAGGTTCACAATACAAGTAAACAATAAAAATCAGGCTGCTCAGAATGAGATTGTTTTAAAAAGTTGAATGAGTGTGGGGGGACTTTTTTTTAAATAATGAATTGTATAAAAAATGTGAACTTGCAGAAGGTCAAAATTATATATGCACAGAAGACAAAATGGTAATATTTTTTGCCAATTAGATTCAAAAAGCATGACTTTATTCCTCTTTAATCCAGTTACCTTCTTTTGCTTCTCTAGATTAAGACATACAAACACACTGACAAAACACCTTTGTCCACTAATGTTAAAAACAAAAAAACCAAACACTGCCCCCCAAACCAACCAACCCTCCCATCAATTCCAGCGAGAAAGTATTTCAGCTCTGAAGTTTTCCATTGGTATGGACTTCAAAATCATGTTTTGAAGTTTCAGCCATGCTGCTAATGAAACAATGTGCTATTCAAGCAAAATCTGTATAATTTATCTAATAGGGAAGTGTTTGACTCATTCCTCAAGATCCCAGAAAACGTCTCCTTCACACACATAATTTGAATGTCTCTGCAATTTTTTATATTTTGCACATATCTTCATCAATTCTCTTTCCAAAGCAGTTTCTACATTTACTTCTCATATCACAATCTCCCCTTTTTCTTAGTAGTCATTGAGCATGCACAGAAGAGGTTTCAAAACAGTCAGTGAGGCATAGAAAAACATCCAAGCTTACAGTAAATCTTAGTTTGACACTGTCAACCACAGAAATGTTTCCAGACTTGTACCCCAAGTTTTCTTTTTTAAAAAAATTGTTAACATTTCATACTTATTGTTCTTTTTTATTATTTTAAAGGAAAATATATAGCTACTTACACTTTTATTTAAATATAACACATTTTTCTTTCTAAAAAACCCACCCTGACAAGGGGGTATATTATTTACAAAACAAGAGACTTTACAGGCTAAAAATATTAATCATTCTGTAGTCCTCAAGGTACTTCTATTACGCAAAGTTTCAAGGAAAAGTTGCATGCTGGAGAAACACAAGCTTGCAATAAATGAGTATGGAGAACAGTATTTTTGGCTGTAAACAAATATGCACTAGTGATATTGAAGTACAATGTGCATTACACCTTATTCAGACACAGAACAATTCATGCTCTTTATGTGTACAACATTGTGAAAAATAAGATGGAAGAAGTCAGGTAGGAAAACATTCTTTTATCATAAAAATATGTTATAACAGGTACAGTTAATTTAAAGCTTTGCTTTAAAACAAACTTTATTTAAAAATCTTCTTTTGCTTTACCTAAAAATTACCCTTTCTAGAAAAACCATTCCTTTAAAACTTTGCTTTAAAAAAATCAGTTTTATATTAGACAAAATATTAAATTATACAGGCACAATTAGTTAAGAGGGTTATAAAAACTCATATTATAACCCTTCGTTTTCCAGTGACTTGCAATATGGTCATAAGATTCTGTGTCTATTGACAACCATAGGAAAAGTCACCAATAGAAATCAACTTTTATTTCAAAAATAAAATAAATAATAATAATAAAAAAATCTGTCAGACCATGTTTGACTTGTGAAGGAAGTTAGTGTCCAGCTGGCTTAAGTACATGCATATCTTTTATTTATCCTGGGAAACATGCACATCCATTTAAAAAAATTCCCAAAATATTTTTTGAATGAGTGGTTTATGATGACAGCTTTTGTATTTCCTTCAGATACTGTATATTAAAATAGACCTTTATCTCAATCCAAACCACTGACCCTTGACACTTCAGAAAATTAATCAAGAACTATTTTGTTTTTTCAGGGGAAAACGCTGGGGGGGAAAAAAAAAAAAAAAAGATATTATGTTCCATGGCAGACACAGCAGGGTCTTTTCTACGTTTTTCTTGTGTTCTGAAATACGTATTTTACAACTACAAAATTTACAGATACCTTTAAAGTAAGACAGATTATATAATACACCAAAATGCAGATTTACAAATCAGAGCCCTGACTGCAATGATTTTTAACTATACACTTAACTTAATACAAATGAACAATTAATCTTAGATTTTAAATCATAGAAACATCTGCGAGACTGGGGTTTATGTCTCCTAAACACATTAAATAAGCTGTCATCATAATAACTATTAAAAAAATAAAAAGAAAAAACTAAACTAAAACAATACAGTATTTTTTGCCATAAAATCACAGTAATTAGAGCATCAGTGGCCAAACATGAATCACTATATAATTTTAATTCAACTAAATATTTTTAAACAGATATTTAAATATCTGTAATATCTGTTTAAAAAGATATTTGAACTCTAACACATTTACATGGTTGCTGCTTTAGGCTTATTTAAATATTTTACTGAATGTTTAAAAAGAAAGTTTCAATTATAGTACATAAAAATGAAACCAACAGTACACCCAATTAAAATCAAAAAGCACAGAAACTCAAATTTAAGGTTGAAATTCTAGAATAACACACTGCTATTTGTTTGTGTTATAACCTTTCCGTCCCCCCACTAAGGAATGTGAAATTCACCCATAAACTTAGTCAATAAGCTATTCAAAAACAAAACAAAACAAACACAAACAAACAAACACACACACACAAACCACAAAAAAACCCAACCCAAACCCCAAGCATATATTTCTTTTGGAATTTGAAATTTTAACCACCGCCATTTGAACAGTGCCCTGGAGAGACATATTTCCTTACCAGCATGGTCCATTATTGCTTGATGAGAGCCCACAGTGACTTTTTGTCCAAAATAACTGCTTTGGACACAGCTTCAGGAAAAAAAAGTCAATATAAATACACGTACAATTACATTTCATTTCAAGAAAGCACTGAATTGATCTTAATTGTATCATACTGCAGTCATTTTAATGCCACTCCATAGGCAAGTATATATTATATGTTGAAGGAGGTGTGCATACACATAAACACAAAACACATACACAGAATTTAGCCCAGATTAATGTATCTTCATTTAATTTCTAGCATAAGAACTGAGTACTTTTTTGCACTTTAGAATTATGTGGAAAAATCAGAATAGGCACAATTAAATAATACAGCTTGTAATTTACCTTATTATAGTGCACTATTATGCACTGGTAATACCATAAAAACAGTATGATACTTTTCAAGCTTATTTTTCTGATGTACAGGTAAAGTCTAGTAAATGGGATTCTAAGTGCTTTTTAACTCAAACACACGATTTCTGCAGCTTTACACAACAGGACAGTGCAATACATTATGTCCCCATATTCCAGGAACAAGAGCTCAGTTTACAGTTGTACTTGTTTCACATTAGACTGGCTTTGCACTTTCTGCAGCTCTAGCACTTCAACTGCTTCATCTATGACCTCCTTTTGTTCCCCTTCCTTTTCTTCAATCTTTTTTCCAGGTGCTGTCTACGAAAAAAAAAAAAAGTTCTTTTGGTAGCTAGCTCTCACCTGGTAGGACAGGACAAGTTTCGAAGTAACGGTACAGCAGAAGTTCTTCTAGAGGGTTGGTTCACAGCGCTAGGGTGACCCCAATCTCCACTTACTTCCCAGTTCCCGACTTTGGAAGAAGCTCGCTCTGGCTTCTTGGGAAAAGATTCTGATGTGACTTTCTGCCTCTTTTCAGGAATCCCTGTGACAAGTGTTGAGTTCAGAAAGGTCCTTTTTGGTTTCCTCCTCACCTTTAATTTTTTAGCATCAGGCTTTTCTTTCTTAAGGTGCTTTCCCACTGTAGTTTTCCTTGTCTGGCACCTATGGATGGAGAAAGCAGATGATTTCTGGGCACGAGGACAAAGCTTCCTTCTCATCCCCTCTTTCTGCTGTTTTTTAGTTCTGGAAGTTTGTTTGCCTGCAGTTACTCTGTTTCCTCTCCTTCTAACAGACATAGGTCCTGCAGCCTTTCTGGAAAAAACTGGTTCTTTATTAGTGCCTTCTTTTCTCTTCCATATTGCCTTTGGATTCTCCCTCTCTAACAGCTCACTCCTGATGGAAGTCAGAGAAGTTTTGGTAACTCTAGTGTTAAAAGGAGTTAATCTATCACCTCCTTCTACCACAGACTGGTGAGAGTTCAAAGGCGAAAGGTGACCAGATACCAGAAAATCTGTTCTTTCTGTGGAAACAGAAGATCCATCTGCCTTCTGACTTGAGGCTGCATCATTCCCTTTATCTGGATCTGGCAGGAAAGATGCTGAAGATGAACTATAGAAGTCTGACCAATTGAGTGACTTTGATGGCATGCTTTCCCTCTGAGCATCAGCTAGTTTCCTCGTGTTCACATCAAAACTGAGACTTCTGAAAAGTTGTCGAACGTGGGAGGGCTTTTTGGCCTTTTCTCCAGCTGTAGTCTTCGGAGGTGTTTTCAGAATTCGATTTGTCAGTGGGTCATAGTACTTAAAAGAACACTGTTTATATTTATACCTTACAGAGTCCTTGCTATCTGTGGAGTTATGATTTTTCCTCATTTTGGGATTATCTTTCCTCATTTTGGGAATATCTGTAGGTTTACCTTTACATTGTTTTATCTCTGGGCAAGAAAGTACATACACCACTGTCTTCGGCTGTACAGGACTCATAATCTTGCTATAGGAGTCAGGAAGTTTAAGGGCACATAGTCTAGTTTTCATGTTTGGAGTTTTTTCATTCTCTGGACACACGATGTTTCCCTTCTGATCAGATGGATCAGACTCCCTTCTAGACATTTTTCTTTTTGCTACAGGGTAGTTCAATAGACTTGTTTGGGTGCCATGGCTGACTTTAACCACCTGGCATCTTGAAGCCAGGCGCCATGTCCTTTTCCTAGGCTTTTTAAGAATTTGCGGGTTGCATAGTGTATCTGAGGCTAAAGATAGGTTATCAAAGTCAGAGCCACCACTTAAAGCTTCACTAAATTCTGGCAGTGCTTTAACCGATGCACTTTCTGTTCTATTACCCTCAACAATATTGTTCTTTTTTTCATCCTTCTGCTTTTTTTTCTTCATTCTCTTCCCTGTACAGTTGGCTGAAGATTCACTGTCAAAGTAGCAGCGAAAACGACCTTCCCTGAAATCACGCACAAGTTCTTCAATTTTTATATCATCTTCATACATTATTTGAGACCAAGTTTTTCCCACAAAAGAAGGAGGCACATGAGGCAGAGCTGGAAGAACTGGTTCTTCAGTATGAACTACAACATTCTGTTTCACTGCTTCTGTCTTCTGCACTGACTCAGTTTTTAAAACAGAAGAGAGCTGTGTTCCATAGTCTTTATCTTGCAAACTTACTTGGATCTCTTTTAGGAATTCTATATCTTTTATAGCTGCCTTGGGTAAGTCTGTTCCTGCCTGAATAGGTGCATCACAGTCAAAACTCATTTCAGAACCCTCTAAATGAGTATGGTCCAGAAGTGATGAAAAGGTTAAACAGGGATTATTCTCTTCTTTGAAATAAATTTCTTCAGATGTAGTTCCATGACAGTATTTCAAAATGACATCTTCAATAGTTTCATCCACTGAACTTTCATCACCTCTGCTCGTCTTCATGTTTTTGCATCTTGCTAGTTGTGGGGATGTCCCAAGATCTAGGGAGCTGCTAATACCCACAGTATCCCTGAGATGGAAATCAGACACCAAAGTTTCATCCTGAGTTCGTAAACCATCTCGTTTTGAGAGAGATTGACCTGAGGTAATACATAAAGAATTGCTGTGGCTGCACATAGGATTCTGATGAGAAAATGAAGGGCATTTTGGGTGAACCAGTGCCGGAGCAGGATTCAAGCATGGGTTCAATAACACATCACTTTTGCATGCCTCCATTCTTGTTTTACCACATCCACTATGCAGAATCAGATTTGATGCTGCCAAATTTCGAACATTTTTTCCTGTTTTAGGATTAACAGAAGAACTGTGGATTAAAGGACTGACAGAAAAACGCTGAGGTACAGGGCTCACAGCTGTAAACTGGCCTTCATGGCTATGATTCGCAATTTGAGCATCTTTCAGGGTATCCCATTTCTCATTGCTACAAATGCCCGTAGACTGCTGGGATATTCTTATAACATGTTCCTGCCTTCTTTCTAGTTTTTGAATAAACGCTTGTGTTACAGAAGTTCTCTTTGTGCCCTCATGAGACAGGCATGGAGCAGAAGAGCATATTTCACCAATGGACTCCTGGTCTTTGCTGGAAATTTCCTGTCTGTCTCTGTTCCTGTTTTTCTTCATCTCTTCTGGGGACAGGCAAGCAATCCTAGCAGGCTCTGGAGTGACGGGGAGTGGCATATCATCGTAGGTTGGTCTAAAGGGGAGGGAAAAAAAACCCACCTTCTATAAATACACTTAAGATTTTTCAAACAATACTGTTGTTGGTTTTTAAAAAAAGAATAATTACCTAGAGTGCATCACACCTAATGAACAAACCCAAGTCACCACTTCTGCTACTTTAGCAAAGATATTCCATTTTAAAAAAAAGAGTGGAGGGGGAGGAGAGAACATTCCACAAAGCTAAAGATAACAATTCTGACATTAGCCAATTAGCCTCTTCACACAACCACCTATTAAGAATGGCCAAACATACAACACGATCATTTTATAAATACAGCAAAGCAAGAAAAAGTTTCCTTTGTTTGAAGTTGTGAGCCTATAAAGAGGCTATTTCCCTGGTAAAACCATCATTAATTAATACTGAGCTTTTGTAGAGACAGAACATTATAATTTGACACAGTACAAAAATACTACTAAGTAA